AGTATTGGGAGCATAACCTTTGGTGGGTAAGACCCTCACTCCTGCCATCGGAAGAAGTGAGTTTCTTCCCCACGAAAGCTTATGCTCCCAATACTTCTGTTAGTCTTAAAGGTGCCACAGGACCCTCTGTTGCTTTTTACAGATTCAGACTAACACGGCTACCCCTCTGATACAAGAAAAATGAGGTGTGCCTAGTTGTAGTTTTAACCCACCAGGATGCCCCTTTGCTGAGTTTTAATACACACCAGAAAAGTTGCCTGCTACACACCCAGCTGTATTGCTAGGAGCGATCACCACGGGGGTGGGAGGAGGTGGCAGACGTACAAAGCAATTCTATCTCAGGGCATCTTTAGAGTCACATTAAATCACTTGTGTTGGAAGTATCTGTCGCCCTCAGCATTGGTCGTGGTAGGGACAGATCAGGGATAAGTACATGGGAAGAACTGGACAATTAGGTGTGTGTGGGTGGGGGGGGTGTCTGTTTTTCTGTGATTGACAGTCATAGGTCCTCCCCCTTCCTCCATTCCTCTTCTCCCCTGCCTGCTGCAGGGCACTCCGAGGAAAGCAACTTTGGTGAGTTTGCTTTTATCTCCACCATGATCTTGCTTCTCAACCGCTTCGTGCCTGCGCTTGCTCTGCCCCTGAATGCAGATGGATCAATATAATCTCTCTCTCTCTTTCCCTTTTTTGTGGCCCCGTTCTCCCCTTGCCCGCTCTTTGCCCCCCTCCTCTTCCCAGCAGACCGTAGTTTAACCACCGGGCAGCGAAGCTTTCAATGAACCGGAGCAACGGAGCCGTGTGAAGTGCTTCCACTGGCAGGGGAACAGCATGCACACAGGGTGAGTCCCCAGCCCTTCTCCTGTGGGGTCGGGGGATGGTCTGTTTGGTTTTGCTCCTGCTCCCTCTGTGTTTTGGGTGCCCCGAGGGGGTAACGTGCTGTTTCCTTTGCCTCCCACTGCAGGCTTGTTGTGCTGGTTGCTTTCTGCCTGGCTGAGGAACTGGTGCTTGGGGTAAGTTTCAGATCCAGTGCAATCCTTATGTTATTGTTACTGACCCTCATAATGCTGAAGGTGAGGCTGCGTATGCATGAGCTTGGGGCTGAACTCAGATCATACCTTCCTGTGTGTGGGTTGGTTTTAAAAGTCACAGCATCGATTGATTCCATGGATGTTGTTTTGCCGCGGTGGTATGAGAACTTGTGGCACGTACAATTTGTGAATATACCAATTATTTGGGATTGGATTGAGCGTGTATCTGTATGTGTGTTAATTTGTAAAAAGTTACAGTATGTATTGGCTGCAAAAGTATGCAATTTATGTGCATAATTTACATAGATAACCTAACACATAGCACTTGCTTTAGTTCTGTACGTCTCTGCTTCTCTGTTCTATTCTTGCATACCTGTGCATTGCTAAATATGAAACTTGATTAATCAATCCTTTTGGAGTTCCTCAACTGGAAAATGCCACTTTATGATTCTCTTAAGAGGCAATCTGCTATTTTCTTTTGCTTCCCTTCTGGTCTTCTTTAATTATTCTTTACGAAGCTACTATGCATCAAAAGACAATTTGTACAGAATATAAGACCATTTTATTACAACAGTGCTTAATAGTTGACCAGCGATACACTGGCTGCCTCTGCCTTTTTTTTCTGTCCTCTCTCTCCTCAGATGCTAATGTTACAAATTGAAGGCTAATCCTTTAAATTCTTGCTCACACAAGCAGTCACATTGAAGACAGTCACACAGAGGATCAGGCCCTCAAATTTTATATCAAGATGAACAATTCTGAATAAATGGTTGCTTGATGGATCACAGACTATTCTTTTTGTGCCCCTGTGTAACTTTGTAAGAAGTTAGTTTAAAGAAGGATAACCCCTAATAATCAAGGATGCTGGTTTTATGTGCTCATAAATTTGACCATTACTTTGGCTGAAACATTTCTTAATAATATAGTTAAGATAATGAACTCTTTAGTCCCCTCAGCTGCTCTAAATTAAAGATCCCTTTAAAAAATCCATAAAGTGTAAACCCTGTGAGTTTAAATTTAGAAGCCCAATTGATGTACCGACAGTAGTTCAAAATAATCTTTTGTCATATTGTGTTGTAAACTAAGGCTACACAACACTTACGAATCAATTCTTTGTAGTGTTTAACTTACAGTACACATACTGCCATGAATCTGTGAAAACATTTGGAACACATGTACTTTAAAAATATTTTTATTTAGTTCACATTTTAGCCAGTTCCTTAACAAAAGCAGCTTAAAATAAGAATTTGTGATTTGGCTGGATACAGTTTGTCAACAATGTAAAATCAAAATATTCATCTGCTTCACTAGTATTTAGATCCAGTTGTATCTTTAAAGGATTAGAAGCTTTTTATTTTTAAAGTCTTCAAAAATGTTTTCAAATACTCACTAAACTGTTTCTTTCAAATACATACAAGTTTTACACTGTTTGTAAATACATAGGGCTTAATACTGTGTTGCCTTGCACCTTCTGTAATCAGTTTCACTTGTGCCAAGTCAGTGCAAAATCCTACCATTGTGATTTGTTAGCATTTTATGTTCCCTTTGAACTGGTGTAAATGATTACACTCGGTGCAAGGCAGTGCAGAATCAGCCCCTATGTATTTATCTTACCTCTTACAGTTTAATACAAACTTTTTATTTTAATGCTGTGTACAGTGGAATTTGTGTGAGACCACATTTATGTGGCACCTGCCTTAGAATATTGCCTCCAAAATAACCCAGAACATAGTGGGCTACATTCTGCACTCATTTACTCCAGTGCATACTGAAGTATTCAGTCAGTATAAATAGAGTTATTCTGGATTTACAGTGACATAACAGAACAGAATTTGAGTCCCTCTTTCCATTTCTGCTTCATGCACATTAGGTTGTTGCGCAACCAATTTTTGGTAAGTTCCTTGCCCGGTCCTTTAAGTCAGGTTTTGCTGTATGTAAAGGGAAACAGTAAACCTGAAACCTAGTTAATTTAAAAATAATATTTTTTAAAAATAGGCCTTGCCCCTGAATCCCCATACCATTTGTTATGGGTTGACAACAATATTTTCTTTAAACAAAAATTCTCTCGTTGTTGTTGTATGTGAAAACCATACAAAAATAAGTATGAAACTGAATAATAACTAGGTCCTGCAAGCATTTATACATGGGAGTAGTTAATGGAACTGCTCCAGGATTTGTTCCTAATTAACTATACACAAAGTGCTGTTAAATGTACATAAATATAGACAATTCTGTGTTATCAAACTTAAAAGGACTGAACATACTGGATAGAGTATTAAAATTTCAGACTAGTGGAGCATAATATCTTTACATAAGGTTATTCCCATAGATGTACTGTGTACATGCAAAATTTAGCTAGCAGAGAATATTACACTTTGTATGCAAGATTTTCAAAATCAGATTAATTTAAAATAAATAGTTCATTTTCCCTGCTTTTTTTTTTTTCAAAGTACCATTCTAGATATCATAGCAAATTGTTAAACAATGAGTCTTAAGGAGTCTTTCTGAACATGCCTTTTTGGCCATGGTTGATATAGGTCATTCTACTTTTCCTAAGTGGAAACTCTTTTCTCCACTAAGTTCATTTAAGTCATTTATGTGGCTCAGAGGCCTATTTCTCAACCATATTTATAGTCACTTATACTTGTAAAACAGGGAGGTTTAAAATGTTACCAAATCAGACTTTTCCACTCTCACTGGTGGTAGCATTTTACGCCCAGTTTTCACGACTGTAAATGACTAGGCATGGTGCAAAACAGTGCAGGATTAGGCCTCTAGTGTTCATGAATTATTTAATTTTTCTAGAACTCATGTTGAAATGAAAGATTCTCTGTTCACATATGGACCAATCCTGCGCCAGTCAAGTCACTGGGAGTTTCTATTGATGGGAGCATAATTGGACTGGGCCCTTACAGAGTGTTGGCATACTTCTGGTTGTCTGCAGTACAGAACCTTATGATTTTATACCTTGCAGTATTAAAACCTGGATCAATTGTTTATCTCTAAAATTCTATCTCTGGTGTTGCATAAAGCTCTAACCAGCACAAAAAGCATGATTATGTATGAATTGGGATGCCTAGTAACTGAGAGGCACGTTGTTAGAGATAAGTGTGACTTTGGTCTCTAACTTCTCATACTGTATAACTTCAGTTATATTTGGTTTGCTGTAAGCTTTGAGGCATAGCTCAGGGGGATGTTGTCAGCTTGAAATCTAGCCAGTTTTTTTTTATATGAGTTAAAAGTAACTTCAGAAACTGTATCTGCCTGAGTCCTCCTGTCAATTTGTGTCATTTTACAGCCACATGTTCCTTTAAAAAAATATAGAGTCCCCTCCTCTCCTCTTAAAACAACACATACAGACAATAGCGAAACAGTCTAAGGCCCTGCTCCTGCAAGGTGATCTGCACAGACAGACTCTTGCATCTTTACAGAGCTCCATTGAAGTCACTGGGGCTCCATATGGGTACAAGGATCTTACTAGATACAAGGGATGTCAAATGCACAAAGTAAATAAACTGGAAAAATAGAATACCTTTCTCTCATCCCCCAGTTATTGCAATCTTCAGTATTATGTGTAACAATAGTAGGTAGAATAGTTCAGACATAAGTTTAATTTTTGAGGGGATGATACTCTCTCAAAATTCCTAGAGCAAATGTTGTGCACTGTTACATTTGTGCAACATAATCGAAGTGAGGTGCAGATGCACTGTAGTTACTGACAATAGAAGATGGTCAGTTTAGTTTTGCTGAGCTTTGGTCCTGTCACTTTTTACCATTTTTTTCAGCAGGTACTAATGAAATGATATCACATGCTTTATTCACAAGGTAAAGAATGTAGCTAAGAAATGGTGTCACAGTTTTAATCATTTAGCAATGTGAGTTTTCCACATAGGCTTGTGTGAAGTAAGGTACCTGTGTTTTAACAGATTTGGACTGAGACTTTTCAAAGTCAAGTGGTGGATTTAGCCAAATGACTCCCATTAACTTCAATGGGAGCTGTGTTTCGAAATCCTTTAGCTGGCTTTGAAAATGTCAGCCGTGGCCTGACACACTGTATGTGCCAGGGAATATGAACTACCCCCTGAACCTTGGGATACCACAGCGCTGTCCTTTCTGTATTAGTTATTTGTCACTGTTTTTAATCACCTTGCTGATTCTGATCAGTTTCTACTGTGCATAGCTTAGATCACAAGAAAAAGGTCTGTTCAAGGGGCTTCTTTGTGTTTAAGTGCTTTTTTATTTATATTATGAATAATATTGGGTCAGGAAATTAAGGTGCCTAGATGTTGTGAGTGTAAGTACAAGAAAATTATTTAATAAGAAATGAGTCCACTACTCTAATTTGTCAGTTTGAGCTGTTAAGGTATGGTGCAGCTAATCAAGCAACATGTCTAGATCTCTGATGAAATCTATATATCCTGACTGTCCACTGGCAAACATGATTCTTTTGCACACTGAGTGAACTATAGAAAGATATGTTGGTTAAACGTGTCTTGTTGAGTGAAGAGTCATAATGTATTGCCTCTAGAGAAATGGATGTGTGTTGCTCTCCTATATTTTAATTGAAAATTTGGCTGTGCCTGTCATTTTATGGCACAGATCATGTCTTAAGATAGGCATCCTTATTAGTTTCAGTGACTGCCAGGATGTTTGAGTAAGAGCTATACAAGTCCTCCTTTCTTTCAGTCCTGAAAGTCCTTAAGAATAAAGCACTGAGCAGATTAAGAAAGTGGACAATATGTCAAATTGCATAGGAATATTTATTCTTGTTTGATAGCCTTATTTCACCAATACTCTTATTAATTTGGTAAGTACCTATAGTACTGTGACGTATTTTTGCAAAGGAGCGAAGATAGTTTATAATATTGAGTGACTATAATGGTCATGAAAGGTGCTGTGGTGATCATGCTGGAGACAGAAGCTGTTCCCTTCACCCGCATGGCCCCACAATATGCCAACATTTTTATGGCTGATCTGGAACA